ACCTTTCCGATAGAAAAAGAATTATCGAAATCGATTGACGCGTTCCAAAATGATACGGTAACATACATAAAATAATATAAAATTTTTTTTCGAAAATACTTTATATGGAAAAAATGCAAAACACCTTCTACAAAAAAGAATCTCAAAAATCAATGTGATTTTTGAAGAACTCCGAACTTGCATTTTTTTTACTATAATTTAATGGGCTGCAAAACTGCATACCCCAAAATATCTAAAAATCTGATTAAAAATTGCTGAATTTTCGCGAGTTTGGCACAAAGTTTAGGGATCATACATATATCTATGTTTTTTGTTGTAGAATGAACCATATTTTTTTAAAAAAAATTTCGGAGAAAAAATAGAATAAAAATGTTTGCATATATGGTGAAATATTTGCTGTGCCAATACTCTGTTCCGGCAGTCTATGTATTCCGACGAATTGATAACCTCCTTTTTTGAAGTCGGTTAAAACTGAGACGAGGTGAAAGAACGAAATGTTTAAAATTTTACAAACAAGTAAATTTAAACAAATTTGCCAAGAATACTATTTAATATACTTTTATGGTTTATTTTTATGTTGTAGCATTTAAGTTGGCTTTAGTTTTGTGGCAGCAGTCACATTCGTGCTTTGCTTGCCTACATTTATTTTCTTATCTTATAAAAAAAAAACTACTTTTTACCACGTCGCTTATTATATTGATGGCTTCCTTTTCTTATTTCTTATAGCTATTAAGTTTTTCTTAAATATTATGCAATTTCCTTTAATATCGTGTGATTCCGATCACTGCCGCCTGCAGTTCAGCAAAATATTTATGTGCGTCTTTTTTCCAATCTTTTGAAAAAATAGTAAAAAAAAACCTGTCTATCCATTAAAAACGGAGTTGCACGCACACATCGAAACGCTCATGTACTGTGTATGCGTATGTACATGCTTACATACTTACATACATATTGTATATGCATATGTACGAAGGTTTTTTGTTTTTATATTCAAGGAGGAAAGTCTGTTGAAATAAGATTCATTAGATAAAAATGTAATTAAAGCAAATCTGTCAGCGAGTAATCGTTTAGTTAGATATTTAAGTAAACCTAGTTTTACTCCGCGCGTCAATCGTTGTTGTTTGTGTGAAAATGCTTGCATATTTATAGAGCCAAATGTGGGAGTTAATGTGAAATAAATATATTTGAAAAATTCGTTTACTATACAAAATAAGTAAAGTAATTGATCTAGGCGTTAATAAAATAGTTTTATGAGAAGTCGATAAAGACAAATCCCTATATTATATTTGATTATTGCTGAAACCTATTTTGCTATCATAATTTTATTTTTTTAAGATTTTAATAGCAATCACTGTAACTTTTTGGTATAAACTTAGAAAAAGTTGGAAAAGTCTTAAAACTAACGATTTTTCGACACGAGAAATTATAAGAAATTATTATCGATGGTGTCGATGAATGTACTGTGAATTACCGTAAACTTACTGCTGCTAAAGACTTAACTGGCTGCCAACAAAGATAAGCTTTTTAAATGTATGATTGCTAATATTTGTAAAAGATCACATGAGCCATTTATTGTGGAAGTGGCTCTTTAAAAATAAACGGCTCATATGTGCATAAGTCCATACATATTTTCACCTTAAAGCAGTCCATTTTTTGATTTTTTGTAAAATAATTAAATTATATACTCAATAAATTCAACAAAGACTGAGTCGTGTTGCACTTATACTTACCTTTATCTTTATCCATATCTTTTTGTTTATAAATATCTTTATCTTTATATTAATTTTTATCTTCATCACAATTTTTATCTTCGACTGTAAATTCATCTTCAACTTAGTTATCATCTCCAGCTTACTCTTATTCATATTTACTTTCATCTTCTTCGTCACTTTTCGTTTTATTTTATCTTCTCCTTTATCTTCGTATTCATCTTTGTCCTCATCCTCGCCTTTATCTTGATCATCTTCTCCTTCTTCTTCATCTTCATCTTCGTCTTCGTCTTCATCTTCATCTTCATATTTTCCTTAATCTCAATGTTAATCTTTGTCTGTATTTTTTATAGATGCCTTTCGTCTTTGTCGTTGCGTCTTTGCCTTTTTATTTATCTCTGCCATTATCCTTATACTTATCAATATATATTTATATTTTGCTTTTTTCCCATCTAAAGGAAGAATTAGATACTAAAGTCACATATGCATGCAGGTTGCTTTGTCCAAAGTGCACGGATATGTACTAGTATGTAAGTACATAAGTATGCATGGCAATATGTTTGCTGAAAGTCTTTTTCAAGGTAGGAAAATCATGTGGCAACTCCTACTGCAAAATGCTTTCAATTACACTCATAAATAGTTGCTGTTTTTTTTTATTTCGTATGTTTTCATGTTACAGCTGACCACAAAAAGAATCTCTGGTCGCAATGTCAACTCATTACAGCTCGCTTTAATAAACAATTTCATGGACAACTGTTGGGGTGACACTTGAAGCATTTAATAGTGGTGAGCAACGGAAAAATGACAATACACAACAGCAATGAGAAAAAATACACATAAGAAAAACTTTAAAGCAGCGCATAAAAAATGAAGCATTTTATTTCAAATTTTCTAACGAGGGGTGCGCTTCACGTACAGTTGTCGCTGCGAATGAATAAAATAACCAAAAAAAAAGTTTCATACATACTACTTACATATATTTATGTACGTACTATTGTATATAGATATGTAAAATTAATGCAACAAAATCAAATAATAATTTGTAATTGTTTTGGTTTTATGCCCAACTGAGTTTGCTTGCTGGACATTGTCATTACGGATGACGAGTAGGCATTTTCCACTCTTAATTTTTTTTTATTTCTAACATTTTTTTTTTCACATAGCCACATTTTGTTTACCATCATTATGTTATTGTGTGTTGCTGCTGCTGCTGCTGTTGTTGCTTCTTGATTTCTTTTGTTTTGGGAAAATAAGAAATATTTTTATGATGTGACTCGAATGCAACAAAGTGGAACGTCACGTGACGTGAGTGAGCGCACACGTTGACAGTGGCAGTGATGGCAGTGCCATTGTTTGGAAACTCCAATGGTAAACACCACAATGAAATAAACTAAATAGCAGTGCATAGCTATAGTACACTTATGTGACGACACCGCTTTTGCTCGAAGCCTGAAGTTCACTGAAGTGTTGGTAACATTGTGTGCGCTCCTCCGTGCGCTGTGGAATGCACTGTCACACGCAATCCATCGCATCGGTGGAACGAAAAGCGCGGGCGATGGTGACTGCTATTAAACGCACTGCAATCGAATTATTTTAGTCATTTCGTGTTTTTTTTTTTTTTTTTTTTTTTTTTTTTTTTTTTTTTTTTTTTTTTTTTTTTTTTTTTTTNTTGCAATTTTACGAGCTTTGTGGTCATTTCATTGAAAGCATTATAAATGCATAAACCTAAATAGAGTTAATTTGTTGTGGCACATTGCCGAAGATTAAATGCATTAAAGCCTAATTAAAGTTCACAGCTCGAAATTAAAAGCGACATTAAGTCCATACAGATAATAAATAGTCAGCTTATCGTGTGTTGATAAGTAAAAGTGTGTAAAAACATGTGTATGCGAGTGAAAAACATATGTACACATACATTCGTTCGTTCGTTCGTTCATTCGCCCTCTTCCTCACCTCGCCCTGCTCACTTATGTAGGGCTGGCTTTATAGCCAAATTAATTGGTGTCAAAATTCAATAGCAACAACATTTGACCACACTAATTGGCATCACATTAAGCAGACAACAAAAGGCTAATATGTAAATACGCATGTTTGTGCTTGTAGCGGGAGAAAAGAGGCTGCAAATTTTGCGAAAAGCGGAAGTTTTTTTTTTTGTGTGGCATCTTATTTCAAAATATTGCTAGACTTTTATGCATGCCTGCATTAACCCTCCTTGTGACATTAAACGCAAAGAGTGCACATAAAAATGTATGTATGTATGTATGTATGTTGCGCGCTTAAAGAAGCTGATTTCATTGCATCTCCTGTTTCAATGTACATATGTATGTACTTGAGTTGGCAGTCCAACAGGTTGCTGGCGTAAGAATGTCTTTCATGCCTTTTGTGCGAATTTGATACATTTTCTTGCCAATTAAAATTTTAAAGCTGTGTACATTCATACGTATTTACTCGAAATTGTCTTGGCAAAAGTTAGGAAAGTGGACTGAACTAATTTAATATAAATCAATTTACTTAAGTAATATAAAACTTTTAAGTGTAAAATTAAAAAGTTCACTGACCAGAATTCTTAAGGTGGCAAATCGCAGTACTGACTCATTTTCTTACTGCAATATCTATTTTAACCGCGATAATTCATTCCAATTTATTGGAGATATCGATTGATACTTTCTTTCTCATTTAGAATAAAGTACTGTTAATTATTTACATACCTATATGCAAAAATACGTACGCTCACTCCATTATATCTGCGTACACCCTTGCAGTTTTAAATATTCACAATGTGATGCTGTTATTTTAGTACAAAAATATTGGCCATGCCATAAAAAAAAACATATAAATTCAAGTTTCAAACTGTATACAAAATTAAGGAAAATTTAACGAATTTTCACCAAAATTTTAAACTTTTTACTCGAATTTTTTAGGACGTCAGCAAAAAAAATGAATTATTAAAAATCAACGCGATTTCTTAGCCACTTCAAATTTGTACATGATTATACAAATAAGTCACAATATAACGATTATATTTTACCGAAAAAATATAAAACCTGATTTCACGATCATTCGTGATCGGAAAAATAAAAGGAAAAAATACTATAGAAACAAAACTCCGATGTTGTTGTTTTTAGAACGTCACAAGGGCGAAAATTTTCAAAGTGCTTAAATCCTCTACATTTAAGCTTCCAACTTAGGGTGGGTAATTACAAACTTTTTTCGCGACCCAGTCTAATGCACTTACATATGCATTATCGATTTACTTAGGTGCATATGTACACATATACTTACTTACATATGTATGTACATAACCTGTACTTCTGTATGTGAATGTGTTTCCTTTGAAATGTTTTCCTTAAAAAAAACTTGTATTAAAATGCAACCTAAACGTAGCGGATGTGCCTGACGTGGCAACATCCGTTCACTGACAGTAAACAGTCATACAAATATACATATGTATGTTATATGGCTATAAGCCAAAAGTCTATAAAATTCTATTGGTAGTTTCAACTAAGTATACAATGGAATGTATATGCATACATATGTACGTACATATGTACATACATATGTATCTACACTTACTGTATTATATATATATGTAAATACACATGTTCTTTATACTCCTACAAAGGTATTAAATCATACAACTATGTACTTTGACTACATATCGCGTGAAAATATTTATATGTACATACATATATACATATGTACATAGCACATTCATGCGTCTTGTCCATTTTCACGTCAAACTTTAGCTACAAGGTTTTTGCATGGCGTTTGGAACAAGTGACTTTTTTTCTGCTTGAAAAGTTTTACTTTACTTTGTATTTGTTTCTATTTACTTGTGCGGATTCAGCTTTTTCTCGTTGTTTTTTTTTTTGTTTGTTTTTACAAGCGCGCAAATTTTCAATACGTGAAACAATGTCAATTCCGGAAACTGTTCCCATGCACATTTATTTAGCCAAACAATGTACTTTTAAGTTTACATACATGCTATTTAAGTTGGCTGTATATACAGATATGTATAATATAAGTATGTATATAAAAAGATACTTACATATTTACCTACATTTAATAATAGATTTTCCATTATATGGAAGAAAATACTCAACACCCTCGAAAAAAAAATTCTAAAAAATCTACAGTAATCTTTAGTGGCTTGAAACTTGTATTATATTTAACTAAACTTGAATGGGCTACAAAAATTCATGCTTGAAAATTTTGTAAAAATTCTCAATAAAAAGTTTGAAATTTTGATGCAATTTTTTTCTAAGTTTGTTTAATTCTTGTGAACTTTGTACAAGCTTTGAAACTTTTTTTTTATGTAGTTTCTGTTATAGATCGCACTATGTTTTAAATGAAAACTATTAAAAATAAATAAATAAACATAAGTTGCAAACAATATCGTTTTGAATTTTGTTACTATCTTATTGACCGCAGCTGTATGTAGATACTATATATGTACATGCATATACATATATGCATACTATAGGGTGTGTATGTATGCCCGTTGTATCTCAAATTCCATGCCGCTGCTGTTTTTACGATTTCTATCAAATAATGTTTTTTACAACAGCCCGTTCACATGCAAACATATACATACATACATATGTACATACATGCATAGTTCCATATAAAAATGGAATTATAGCGTGCAACAAAATTCGCTGCTATAAATTCTACACAGCACTAAAAATCTAAAATCATGAATAGAGGAAAAGCTTGAATCATCAGCTCAGTAGTACTCAGCTCAAGCAATAATGACAGCATGCCAAAGACACCGAATTATAATACTCGTAGTAAAAAGTGCGCTAGCAATAAAATTAGTAGCCAAAGTAAAAACAAACAGCAAAGCGGTAAGAGCGAAACAACCTTCAAACAATATTTTGAAATTCTAATTTCATTTTAGAATTCTTAATTTTTTATAACGCCTTTTGAAACTGTTCGACGTACATTCATAGTTTGTGGAAAAAATTTTATGTATGTATGTTAGGGCGGGTCATTTTGTAAGGAGATTTTTTCGACTATGAGCGTATAGCACAGAAGGATTCTACGTGTAATTCTAAGCAAGAAGAAACCATGGGACTAAAATCATTTTAGAGTTTGTCAAATTGCGAAAATAGGTTTCTTTGCGTTTCACCGTAGTACCGTAAAGAACTGCTTAAAATTTGTATAAAAACAAGCTTTAAGAGGTTTTTTGGTATAAGGAATTCATATCCGTACTTACATTTTTCTTAAAACTTCCGCCAGAGGGCGCAAAAGTGAAAAATTTTACATTTTTTTGGAAACCCATTTTCGCAATTTCGCAAACTTCAAATTCGTTTTAGACCCATGGTTTCTTTGAGAAAATTTGCTTAGAATTACACGTAGAATCTTCGTATGATATAAGCACATAGTCCAAAAAAAATGACCCGCCCTATTGTATGCATCAAACAATTTGTTGTTTCCTTTGCCTTTATTGCGGTGACTCACATTGCGAAATGACAATTTTTTTCGGTTGCATGCTTTGACTGCAGCAGCAAGAATAACAATGAAAATTACAATAACACCAACAACAACAGCAAATGCAACAATACGAAATAGCAATCAAGGCGTTTATATCTGTCTGTATGTATGTATGTGTGGAATTTGGCCGTAATAACAACACGTTTTCCATTACCGCCGCTACTGCCGCCGCCGGCTATGACGATCAACTCTGATGGCGGCAACATTTGATCAACAATTGTCAAGGTGAAATTCTGACTGACTAACCGAAACAATAACTAAAGTTGAGCCCCAATGGCTGCTGTGCTTTTACCATTTGATTTTATGTTCATTTGTAGATAAGATTGCATGAGGTAGTTCAAGTTGCTAAATTCTAAAAAATACATACGTCTAAAGTCGAATGTCAAATTAAGTTTATGAATATTTATACTTTCGTGTTTTCGGTACGTTACCAATACATATATTCATCACGCAAGTCTGTATGCATGTACATACTTAAATCATTTTTTAGGCAAACGAAGATTATTAAAATGGTGTATGTCAAACTGCTCAAGTCTTTGCCATTCATTCTAGCCGGTGTGGGCTGAGCTTTCATCGTTTAAAAGCTCGTATATTTCGTCATACCATCTTCTTCCGCACCCATGCCGCATGCGAGCAAAGCCATCGATCTTGTGCAGAATAATTCTATCGAAAGTCCCCAAACCCTTTTCATCTTTGTTCGGCCTAATATAAAATGACGGTATGACGATTTTGAGATTTGAGTATCCCATTACGCGAACAATCGTTCTATGCCCTGTTGGGATTTCGCATTACGTCTCTTAGCATCAGACCGAAGAAGTGGAACGAAAGGTAGTCGCCTTGTCTAAAACCTCCCTTGGTTTGAAATGACATGGAGAGGTTCTATCCAATGTCGAAGGAAATAAAATTTCTGTCCCACGAAGAGGTGGCTGTTTAATATCTTACCAGAGCCTGAACAAATCACCTTGTATTAACCGACTTCCAAAAAAGGAGGAGGTTATCAGTTCGTCGGAATATTTTTTTTTTTTTTTTTTTTTTTTTTTTT